AGGAACAACAAAGATTTCTCAGCAAGCTTCCTTCTCTCCAGGAGCCGAATCTCGTGTTTGCTAAAGCTGATTGAAAGTTTCCATTGGTTTCAGAGGACATTGTGTCAAACTGCAGAAGATTGTTATAGCCAAGAACTGAGGCAGTGTTATTTTTTTAGTTATTTAGTTGTTCAGTTCACTTTTCCTCACAAGCCTTGTTGTTAGTGCCTTTCTACACTTTATGCTTTCAATTGCCTCGCCTCCTTTTAGATTTGGTCTCTTAGGTAAATCACCTGAATATAAACTGTAATTGGCTTTGCAAGCTGGGCTTTGTTTTCTTTGCATGAATTCCCTTCAGAAACTGTGGTCAGCACTGATTATTTATTTATGTCTGCAAGAAAATATAATTCCAAGAAAAGGGTGAAGAGACATAAATGACCCATTTGTTGTTAATTTACACCAGAAACTGTGGCTGGAAAGTGAGTCTGTTTCTGAGAGCCCACTGCTTCCTCTGTTTCCTTTCTAGCTTCACAGCATATATTTTTTGTTTTGTTTTGTTTTTTAAGCTCTGCATAAACTTCCACCATGGGTTTCCTTCTCTGTTATTACCAGCCAGCCCACTGATCAGGCACCAGGATTGTGTTCTTGCTAAGTTTGTGGATTGTGTTGGAATCAGAAATCAAATATGTGATAATGAATGTAATATGCTTTTAAGTGTTGTGATGTTTAGTGGGTAGATGTACATCATGAAGACCTTTCTTGTCTGCAATTTGTGATGAAGATGAATCATTCTTTGGGGAAAGGTTATAGTCATGTTGTAAATCACATTCTAAAAATGAAAAAAAAAATCCAGCAGTGATAAATAACTGCCATCTGGAATCTGAACTATGTAATTGTATTGTGATTTATCATCCACATAAGATAAGCTTTTGAGAATGTTTAAGTTGAAGGCGTAGGCATAGAGATACCCAAATGTGTTAACTACTTCAAGTAGTGAAGTTAAATGAAAGTAAAAAAAATTTCCATGTCAGGTGGAAAGACTTCTAGAACCAAGAAGGTGGAATTCATTGCAGCATAGCTATGTGGGAGTAGGTAGGCATTGGGAGTAGCTGTGTAGTAGGTTTTAGATTGGTTTAAAAAATAGGACTCACTTTAATTATTTGACAAATGAAAATGAATTTACATCAAAAGAAGTGCCTCAAATGGTTGTTGTGATTTAACTTTTGTTGATGTAACTCCAAGATGCAGCAAGGGATGCATTGAACTATGTATGGGATTGTCTAACTTTGAGAAATATGTACTGCTGGAAATTAATCTCTTCTATGACTTGAAGAAAAGAAATAGAGATTTCTGAGAAAAGGTATTGGAAGAAAACAAGAGAAGAAAGCCAGCTAAGAAATGGGAAAGCAATGAAAAAAGAGAAATGCCTTTAGAAATAACTACTCTGAATCAACATCACATAAGTTTCTGCTTCTGCCAGCTGCCCACTCGCTTTCTCTTTTAATAGAAAGAATCATCTTGGGTGTGAAACAAGTGGTGTGGGGAACCATGGATTTACTAAGGAAGTGAGTTTTCTGTCTTAGTGGGTTTTAGCTTGCAACACTGACTTAATAATGGATTTGATCTCTTTAGCGTGTATGTAACATATAAATGGCTGCTTCTACCATTTTGATTTTTCTAAGGACTCTCCTCCAATATAGAAGTGAAGCTTCAGTAATAGCTTTATTATTTCCTTTCTGAATGCATCAGTAATGAAACTTAGTTCTTTAAGAACTCTTACAGACATTCATTTAGTCTCACAATGCTTCTATGAGGGAGGCAGTAATATAATCTATGTTTTGTAGACAGAAATCTGGAGCAGCAGCTAAGACAGTAAGTGATTTGTCCCATGCCTCTCAACAAGCCCCTGGAGTACAGCCATGGTTAGAACCTGAACAAACCTGGCACTGCGTCTTGTGCTCATTGCTCATAGCCAAGCCGTCTGTCAACTGAGATATGTCTGGGGACAGACACATAAGAGACTTGCAGAGATGGTTTGTTTTCTGAAAAACTGCTTGAGTAACTAAAATCAAAGAGGTGTTTTACTGACATTTGTTATTTCTGTTCCTTTCTTTTAGCTGGTGTTACCGGAGTACTCTATCCATAGTCTTTTCTGCATAATGTTTTTGTGCGCTCAAGAGTGGCTCACACTGGGGTTAAATGTTCCTTTGCTCTTTTATCACTTCTGGAGGTAAGCCTATCTTTTATATGCTGACTGCTTGTTAGCCTTATTTGCCATCTCAGCACACATGCAGATTGTATGAACTATGAAGTGCAGTGATAGGAGTATGGCTGAGTATCTTTTGCCTATAAGTAACTGAAACTTACATTTCTAGAGAAAAAGTAAATATTTCTCATGAACATTTAGGATGGGTAAAAAGAACACATATAAATGTGGCTTTCAGTAACTAACTTAGATAAATATTCTGAAGGGTGTCAGGATGCACTCACCACAACTGAATGAAAATGTGGAAATTAAATAGGCTGGAATCTGAAAGTGGAACTTGGTAAGGCTCTAAATCACAGAATCATAGAATCGTTTAGG